CGTGTTGCGGGAATTTTACTGTATTAAGGTACATAACTTAAACCTGAGATGTTATAAATCATTTTCACTCTCAATGACCCAAAGCGAGCATATTTTACCATGGGATGCATATTTTACCCATGCGATGAAAATATTGACATCTAACCTATATTTTAATAACATTTTACTTTAAACTTGTTTCAAGTAGATAATGAGAGCTATGCATACTCTGCATATACAATTTTTTCGTTGCTCTCAACTTCAAAACGTTGTTGTCTTTAAATACTCTTCAAAAGACAAACATGGCAAATAATTCAATGCATTTCTCCGCAGTACCATGAGCGTATGGGCCTAGTCATGTATGGGGGGGGGGGGCACAGTATAGTCGGCGAGCAGGGGAGGAGACCAAAAAATTGTCGGCGAGCAGGGGAGGAGACCACCAAAAATTTTTTCCCGAAATATCAAGAAAATTTTTCCGGACATACCAAATACTTTTCTACAAACATACGAAAATTTTGCCGGACAAATCCGAAAATTTCCTCTAACACCACGTAGTTTTCGCAAAGATACAAACATTTTCTCATGACATATAAAAAAAAATTTGGGGAAATATGACAGTTATAATTTACGTAATTTTCACGAACAAAGAAAAGACCGCGACATCTTATTTGGTAGGAAACTTGGCACTGGCAGATCTTCTCGTGTGTTTAACATTTATTCCAATATGGATCATTGAGTTTATACTGACCATATTCAACATTGATAGTGAGCAGAATCTGTTTTGTAAGTCAAGTCGTTCTACCATCTTCTCATTGTTGTTCGCTTCAGTGGCTACACTTCTCGCCATTACTGTTGAATGTTATTTATATATTGTAAAACCCCTCAGGGGGAAAACATTGATAGGTGCATTACTGAAACACTATTTGAATTTATATACAAAACGAATATTTTTCTGAATGATTCAACACTTCGACGCCCAATCGACGGCCTACTAATAATTGCCGCTTAGCGCACAGGCGGCCCAGACGTGTATTGGTGTATAGTAAATATATCATTATAGAATATACCTCTGAGAATATACTAAACAATAAAATTTGTAATAAATTTTATATTTTAAAATCATATTTACTTGCCTACTTTGATTGTATGTGATCGTCTTTTATTTCTGAGCGACTTTACATTCGATGCCTGCGACTGTCTTCATAGGTGATAGTATTGAATACAAAGGCTAACGATTCCAGTTCTCAAACCAGCGACACGAACACTTCAGCTCGAAATATATCCCCTTCAAATTGCTTTGTTCCCAGTTAAACTTCGCCAGCGTATAGAATAAACACCCATCTTCCAACATACAATGCAATATTAACACGTCCTATAATTTTTGCAACAGATTTTTAGCGAAATGTTTCGAGACTAAAATTCTACGGAACTTAGAAAGACCGATAATTACTACGGCGCCTACTTGGCCACCTAGCCTCCTTTACCGTTTGGATTGTCAGGGGGGGGATTCACTATTTCCGGTAACAGCCAGCCAATCAACGCCGCGATACCGACTGTTTACAATATTTCAAATCTGATATTGTATTAAATTTGCAAAACTCTTTCGATGTACGATTGATTCATCGAAAAAGTTTTGGAAATTACAATATCAAATTTCAAATATTGTAAACAGTCACTATCGCGGCATTGATTTGCTGGCGTTGTTGCTGTGTACGATCGAAAGAGTTTTGCAAATTACAATATCGGATTTCAAAGCTATTTGAATCCCCCCCCCCCTGACAATCCAAACGGTAAAGGAGGCTAGGTGGCCAAGCAGGCGCCGTAGTAATTATCGGTCTTTCTAAGTTCCGTAGAATTTTAGTCTCGAAACATTTCGCTAAAAATCTGTTGCAAAAATTATAGGACGTGTTAATATTGCATTGTATGTTGGAAGATGGGTGTTTATTCTATACGCTGGCGAAGTTTAACCGGGAACAAAGCAATTTGAAGGGGATATATTTCGAGCTGAAGTGTTCGTGTCGCTGGTTTGAGAACTGGAATCGTTAGCCTTTGTATTCAATACTATCACCTATGAAGACAGTCGTAGGTATCGAATGTAAAGTCGCTCAGAAATAAAAGACGATCACATACAATCAAAGTAGGCAAGTAAATATGATTTTAAAATATAAAATTCATTACAAATTTTATTGTTTAGTATATTCTATAATGATATATTTACTATACACTAATACACGTCTGGGCCGCCTGTGCTTGAAGCAACTTTTTCGTTTTTGAGCAATTTCTGAGCAACTTTTAGGCTTTTTACTAAAATTAAAACTTTACAGCTTGAAATATTGAAATGTTTACAACTTCATTTTCTGAGATATATTTCTGTGCACATTCTGTATCAGTACAGGGTAGCCTAATAGATGATGTGCCCATGCTCAATTAAATATTCTATGTAATATGCTGTAAATAATACACCCTTTGAATGCATGCTGCTTCCTTGCTTTCCCTTGGTATTTGCTTGCTAGGGGGACTAGGGTTGCTGTGTTCTCTCGTCGAACCCCAAACTTGAAATAATTAGCGTAAGAAACGCAGAGCTATAAAGACAACACTTGCGATGTTGATTTATTGGAAGATTTGTTATTCTAGGTATTCGTGTTGATATTTGTATGACATTTGTATTGCTATTTGACAAACTTAAAAAGTTTATTGTTAATTACAAGAAGTTCATTTTTGTAAATATTTTAACGAACTTCAAATTTGTAAAATTATAAACGGCGTCTCTGCAAGGTAAAGTTGTTATATAACTACAATCAGTTGTTATATAACTGGTCAAAACCATCTGTGACACTCTATTAAGACATTCCTCTCTGGCTTGTATACTATTAGGCTGGAATAACTTACTCGTTTCCCACGTCCGCACCTGAAAACAATGTGCGACGTTTTGGCACCGTATTTTGTAAATGAATTCAACATT